TCGAGTGGTCAGAGGGTCGGAGGGCAGTCGGTCAGTCGTTCGGGTCGAGCGGTCAGTCACTTGGGTAGCCGGGTGGTCAGCGAGTCGGACGGAGTCCGGGGCTTGAAGATTCAGATTGTTGTCGCCGGTTGCTTTCCGCGCTGCTGAGTCGACCCCGTACGGGCCGGCGCCTCGAGCGCTTGGAAGCAGCCCAATCGTATCTCTCGGGGTCTGGGCACCCCGACGGAGGTCGTTGCTGTGTGCTCGAGTCTCAGCCGATGTTTCGCCTCTCGGAGCCTGGGAACCCCGACGGAGGTCGATGGTGCTCGTCCCGGACGGTCTGCGATTCGGCTTCGACTGTCCCAAGCCCCTGCGTGCCGCTCTCTCTCACGAGCCCCTCGTCCTCTTTTTTCTTCCCTTCCGTCCTTTTTTTTCTCTTCACTCTTTGTCCGGCAATGACCATGACAATGTGTACAGTTTGTTGCTTACTTTTTTAATTTATTACATCCAACCGAACGCTCACGTAAAATATCGTGGACGATGGGACGTTTTAACTCGAGAAATAATTTTCTCAATATCAGAGACTGTGGTCTATTAAAAGTTAAATAATTAACTAACAACTAAAAATAATCGTGATATCGAGACATTAAAATATTGTTGAAGAACTGCTTTTTAATTTGAAATTAACTTTACGATTGTAAGATATATAAAAAGAAAGTTATAAGCCGTCAAAAAAGCACCAGAACGTCATGCACGGTGGGTTTGCACCTTAAGATTACATGGTTCAAGAAATTGTGCAGTTTTTATTACATGTACACAACCCTCGCGAAAAAAATGTTATTAGCGCGCTGCGAAATGTACAGCCCAGCTTATTTCTGACTAATATTTTTTTCCTTGAAATTTCAGTTTAATTCTGGACACCGTGCGCAGAAAGAAGACGCAGTTATTTCTGCATTTCAATTTAGAATGGGGGCTATACGGCGTAAAACATAGGATATTTATACTTCCCGTTTTCGTTTAGCATTTGGGTTGGGCTCCAAAAACTGGCCTTCGTGCTGCTGTCCTGTTCACTCGGTATTGACAGCAGAGTAGACGCTATGCGTATTTTAGGCCAATCGTGTTTCCGGTTACGGTCACGTGACTATAGCATCCAAGCTGGTCCTAAGGCAGAGCACGGCACCCGCCTTGAGGACACTGCTTCGTAGACCACTCACATAAAACCCACTGCACTGTCAACTTTGGGACGAACTCACAAAAGTATCCACTGACAAATCCTCTCGCTGTGTACATTGTTGGGATGCCCCTGAAGATAAGCCTTTTGTGCGGGCACCCCCCCCCCCCCCCTGAAGACCTTGAAGAAGCAGGATGCAGGCGAAATGCTGGAGCGAGGGGAATGTTTTTTCCTCATTTCTCTAGCAACCCATCTGCTTCCACCTCCCTAGCATTCCTTTCCCTGGCCCTGAACTTTTAGCCGCGGCCTGTGTGGCTCAGTGTTTGAACAGTCCTACGCGTATAACGGTAACGGGATATTTCTTCAAAGAAGTCACAGAAATTCTCGTGGTGTGGTTTGGTTCGGAAAATGACAGCTTGTACCGCATCGTGTTGAATCTTCACGGAGCGATTCCATCTCGTTTATGTGGTTGCGTGTTTGTTCTGCAGTGCCCGTATCGACATGTATATCGGAATACATCTTTCGAGTCCTCTGCGTTTATGGTAAGTACAATGAAACCCACTTGTTGGCAACGAGTGACCGCTGTTCTTCGTGTGCTCATCCAGATTATCTATAGAATTAGGCGGTGTCTATTCTCCAGGCAGCCGGGACAATAATTTCCCCTAAACTCTATCGGCAGTCGCCTCCCATTAGCTGTCTGAAGTCGTGCGCCAACTGCTGGTAGAATACTGACTTTCTTGTTCCCCCGGCTGTTCGTGGAAACACGTTTCACCGACAAATGTTCGTGGATACGGGATTCATGAACACGTTTCGTCGGCACTAACGTTTCACCGACACTCGTTACGCGAATTGCACGCTGCAGGGAAATTGTTTCGCGGGTGTGTAACTGGCCGGTCGACACGTCCACGCAGCTTCGCGGTGACAGTCTGCGACGGCTAATTACAAGAATGTTAACCTACATGGCCCAACCTACATGCCATTTTCGGCGACAATCTAAAATAACTTGTCACCAAAAAAAAAAAGGCTTATCATGATTGTTTGTAAAACAACCTGCCGATGAAACAGCGTGTCAATAAAATGATCTGTCAATGAAACGCCGTACGATGAACTGATTTCCACCGCCAATGAAAAGCGTTTGCCTTTAGAATTTCGGGGAAATTATTTTTCCAGCTGCCGAGAAAATAGACAATATAGCCTAGAATTACCTCGGTTCTTGTTTGCTTTGAAATCGTCTCAGCTGGATAGAGGCTCAGTAGTACCTTTTTAGATTTCTCAGATCGCTTGCACGTTGCTACAGAACATACTGTGTGTAATGAACTTCTAGGAAATTTTAAAACAATAATTTGTGTCTGTTTTCCTACCTGTTTGCAAAAACCTGTGCGAGAATATTTTCTTTACGGGTATTCAAAGTGTTTTAAATATAGACAATCTAGTTCGGGACGTCTTGAATAAGTTTGAGATATCCAACCTTGCAGACGGTACTCATTTAGCGCTAACGAATAATTTGCCTGGGTGCCAGATGCTACTTTGAGAGCAATTCATTTTAGCAAGCATTGGTCAGCGAAGGCAATGCCGCGGCTATGCTTCTGCTAGAGCTAGTGAGCCGGCCCTGCCTTTCGTGGCTTGGTCGCGTCTGTTCATTCGCTTGTGCGTGATATATTCCGTTGCATAGTTCAGAAAGAGCTAATGGTGGCCAGTCATCCGTGACTTCACGACGACTTGGTTGAGGTTGTGGAAGAACTTCTAGCCTATTGTGAGCCAACCTGTTTAGAACATCGCGATGCTATAGAAACGAGTGAACTTATGTAAAGCCTTGGCCCATTCACAACGTGCTGCTTGGGGATGTACTTTACTAAGACCAGTGTGGGTTAGAAAGCGTTGATCTTTGACCTTTAGATCTTTTTCTAGATGCCATCAGTGCGAAGCTAAAGATTCAAGAAACGGCAGATAAAAAAATGGTGGTGAAGTGGCTGCCAGGGTCTTGCGACGAGGGAGGGAGTAGGAAGAGGCGTTTAGTAGCCGCAATGGCTCCCCAGTCTCAGGACTCGATCCAGGACCCTCCCCAGAACCCTCCCCCGGACCAGGCATAAGCTCCCCGCTGAGTCTCCTCCCTAGCCCCTTTCAATAAAAGTTCCGAAGAAAGCATTAATTGATCTTGAATTATTCATTTGCACGCCAGATAAAATAGTGCACGGACAAAGCATGAAGCATCTTGTCATTTGTGCCCAGAATGTGTTTATGCAGTGGACCACTAATATTAAACAGGCCAGGGGTTCTTAAGACCCAATGTTGGAATAGCAGGGATTTAAATGCATCGCCATTATTGCACAGCTAGCATTTAAGATGTGACACCAATATTGGGATAGCCAATGAATTAGCTGCCAATAACGGCATAGTATAACAAAGTATCAGTGTCTGATGCGTGCCCTTCATTGCTTCACATGTTATGTGACATAATCCCTTAACCAGCTTGGTGGTTTACGTGATCGTGTTAAGGGCTGCCGCACGTTAGTGTCCGGTTGCGGCATTTGCTGGGAAGCTGGGAGAGGCACGGAGGTAGACTCCTCCCCCCCAGGCGGCGTCCTCTGCTCTGCCACAGAAAGTTCAGGCAGCTGCTCGTCTTGCAACGATCGCTGGCGGGATGAAACTGACTGCGTTTCCATCGGTGCCCCTGAATTCAACAAAAACCGTCCTGGCCAACCTGGTTCTTTTTCTTTTCCCGCTTGAGGGACGAGAACTAGTTTCGAAACGTTCCATGTCCGTCCATTTTCAAGCAGAAACGTGCCTGGTCCTTTTCTTTTTGGGACCTTCAACGGTGTCGTATACCTAAGGTCTCCTTTCGTGCCACCAGGCGGCTTGCATACTCTGACGAAATCGCCTTGCTTAAACTTGGCAGCCTTTGCACCACGTTTTTCGTCAGTGTAGGTCTTGCTTTTGCTCTGCCGGTCCTCGACTCTCTTCCGAAGAGATTTCATTTTGGCTTCTGGTCGTTGAAAGAAGTCCTTGGATGGCAGTCCTATTATATCTAACCTTGTTCTTGGCTGCCGACCGTGCAGTAGAACGGCAGGGGAGATTCCGGTCGTGCCGTGTGGGGTACATCTGTAAACGCCCAGATAGTCGGTAACCGCAGACTGCAGAGGGCGATTCTCGAGGATAGCAAGCTGGATGAAGTCTTTTAAGACACGATTGAACCTCTCAACCAATCCATTTGCTTGGGGATAGTATACTGAAGACAGGCAGTGCCGAATTCCCCTTTCTTGAAGAAAATCCTCGAACCCTTTGGGTTTAAATTGCGTCTCATTATCTGTTACTATCTCCTCGGGGTACCCGTCCCTACTGAACACCGAGCGGAGAAACTCAATGACCGTTTGCGAGGTCACATGGCTTGTAAAGCAGAGCTCAGGCCATTTCGAGTGATAGTCTATCAGTGTTATAACAAACTTTTTGTCTGGCTGTGCTCGAGCCAGCGGTCCAACAATATCCATGGCCAACTTCTGCCATGGCCGATCCGGTAAAGCAACCGGCTGTAGTGGAGCGGGCACAGGCTTTGCAGACTTGTCTGCTTACTGGCAAATGTGGCAGCTTCTGACTTCTAACTCCACTTGACGCTCCATGCGAGGCCACCAAAACCGGTCCCTGAGCCTTTGCTTTGTCCGCACAATACCAGGGTGGGCTTCATGTGCATAGCGTACCATCAACGGCGTCAGAGCTTCAGGTATGACCACTTTCTCCTCCCGCAGCATAAGCTTGTCAACCACCTTCCTTAACGTGGTAAAATGGAACCAGTTTAATGTCCAGCGACTTCTTTGAGAGCCATCCCTCGTGGACTAAACGCACAACGTCCCGCATACTAGCATCTGCTGTGGTTGCTTCTCGCAGCTGTTCCTTGATTACACATGATGTAACAATGGAGACTATCTCCTCTTTCTCTTGACCTATTAACCTTCCACTGGTAGCCGTGACAAGGCATCAGCCACGCGATTGTCTGCCTTGGAGACTTGATTCTGAAGAGACGGTGGAAGTCTTCGACGTTTAGCCGTAGCTGGCTGCACCGGCGTACGTCGCTGAACTTGGTGCACGAAGTCTTTAGCAAGTCCGAGCTCTTTGGAAAAAAAAGTTGTCCTAACTCCTCCCTTAGACCCGATGGTAGCAACGTAGACGTCGGTGAAGGAGCAGCCTGACAACAGCTGAGCGTTTCTCCTTCAATGTTGATACGAATGTTACGAATGGCGTCGAGTCCCAGCAACGAAATTCCTCTCTTGGTCACGTGGAACATGACGCAGGCGTCCTTGTTTCTGTAGGTTACATCGACCAGAAAACATCCGACGCTTGGCATTTCCTCCTTCGTGTAGTTTTGCACCACGACTGACTTTGCACTTAGAGGATACCTTCCAGAGAGGTTCTTGCGGTAGTCTTCTTCGCTCAACAGGGAAACCGTGGCCCCTGTATCCACAAGAAAACGAATGGGAACGTTGCCGATGAGCACCTCCGTTGATGTTTCCCGTGCACGTCTGTAATCGTCGCCGATATGCAGAACTGTGACGACGTTAGCTTCCGCCGAATTCGGATCCTTGACGGCTTGAACACTGGACATCTCGCTCGACTTACAGACTGCTTCGAAGTGGCCAATCTTCTTGCAGCGGCGACAACGCTTATTCTTCGCCGGGCATTTGTCGTAGTTTGCCCTGTGAGTTTGTGACCCGCAGCGGTAGCCACATCGTTTTGTCGAAGTAGATTTCTCAGTTTTCTTCGGTGCCACGCGCTGCACAGAAGCGTAACCACCAAACTCGTGAATCTCCCGTTGAATTTGTTCAATATGTCTGCCAATATCGAGCGTTCTCTGGAGTGTGAGGGTAGAACCTTCGTAGAGCAGGCGTTTTCGGATTTGACGAGAAGTAGTGCCATCGAGGAGCTGATCTCGAATGACGTTGTCGAAGCCGTCACCGTAGTCACAGGAAGAAGCAAGTTTCCGCAGACTGGCTGCGCAGGCCTCGAACGCCTCATTAGGCGCCTGACGCTTTTGTCGGAACCGGTGACGGTCTACGAGCACATTCGTAGACGTGGCAAAATGAGCGTCCAGCACTGTCATTGCGGATTGGAACGCATTTTCAGCTGATGGCGTTCCCTCCGATTCGCCATCCTTCGATGTTTTGTCGCTGCCCTCGCGAGGCTTCTCAGTAGAAGGTGACTGACCGGTCCGTGCCCCGGCGATGCTGTAGAACACCCGCTGTCCTTCAACGACCAGGGCATTCAGCAGAATTGCTTTCCGACGATTCGGCTGCAATTCGTCGCAGCCAGCAGCTTCCAGGAAATTCAGGAACACCCGCTTCCACTGCTCCCACGGAATTGCAGGCTGTCCCGGCGTAGGTAGGAACAGGGGCGGCGATGCAGCAGAGAAGAACGCCATGGCTGAGTAGTACAGCCGTAATGGGCTCAGCATCTCGTCGCCAAAAATATGGTGTCCTCAGGGACACGGCAGAGAAAAAGAACAGGACCAGCCCAGTCAACGTTCCAAATCAGACTGACTTTTATCGGCAAAGAAGAAATTGAAGTACAGATCATATTGTCACGGGTGGTGACCAATAAAAAAGAAATAAACAGAAAGAAATAAACGTTTAATGTGGCAAACTTGTGCCAAAAATAAAAGGGTACAAAAGATAATAACGGAGCGTCGCGGGCGTCGAAGTCGGCGTAGCAGCAGAGTCGAACGCTGGGCGAAAACTGACTGCAGATCAGTACGCGGAGTCCCTTATGTACGCGCGTTGGGTTCCGGAACAATCGGCCTAGATTGTTCGGCGACTGGAACATTCAGAACTCTATCTGACGAGAATGTTCACGAACTCACGAGAACGCAATGAAAGGACAAATAAAAGAGCATTCCACTGACTGGAATCGAACCCAGACTTTCTGCACGGCAGTCAAGCACGGTAACCATTCGGCCACGCGCGCGGTCGCTCGCTGACGAGCGTGGCATTACTCCCCCCTTTAAAAAGGCATCGTCTCGATGCCACGTAAAAGGCAACAAAACAGAGCGAAACAAACAAAAAAATGGGAACATACGGAGGCTCGCGAAACACAATCCTATAAGGCGGTGCACAAGATCACTGTTCGCAGTCTTATCGCGCGTAGTACGGCTTGAGGCGCACGACGTGGACGACTTCCGGTCGTGGAGCGCGGCGTGATGAAGTCCGTGTTCCGTCGGGCATCACCTCGTAGTTCAGATCCCCGAGTCTACGAAGTACTTTGTAGGGTCCGAAGTAGCGCTTTAGGAGTTTCTCACGGAGACCACGGCGCCGGATCGGTGTCCACACCCACACCCTGTCTCCGGGCTGGAAGTGGACGTCCCGACGACGAAGGTTGTGGCGGCCAGTGTCGACACGTTGTTGGGCTTGAATACGGTGTCTGGCGAGCTGGCGGACTTCTTCTGCCCGTTGGGCAACCACCTGGGCGTCGTCGCTTCCGTCGAGAGCCGGTTCGTGGGGTAACATCGCGTCCAGCATTGTCGTTACTTTACGACCATGAACCAGTTGGAAGGGTGTCACCCCGGTGGTCTCTTGCACGGCCGTGTTGTAGGCAAATGTGACGTACGGCAACACCTCGTCCCATGTCTTGTGCTCCACGTCGACGTACATGGAGATCATGTCGGCGATGGTCTTGTTGAGTCTCTCCGTCAGCCCGTTGGTCTGCGGGTGGTACGCCGTTGTGCGCCGATGGCTGGTGTGGCTGAGACGAAGGATTTCTTGCGTCAGTTGGGCCATGAACGATGATCCACGGTCTGAGATCAAAACTTCGGGAGCGCCGTGCCGGAGGACGATGGATTCGATAAAGAACTTGGCGACTTCCACAGCAGTCCCTACAGGAAGGGCTTTCGTTTCGGCGTACCGTGTGAGATAATCTGTGGCGACAATAATCCATCTGTTTCCTTGCGTCGATGGTGGGAAAGGACCAAGTAGATCCATTCCGATCTGCTGGAACGGTACGGTCGGGGGAGCGATCGGATGCAGGAGACCTGCCGGCTTCGTCGGCGGTTTCTTGCGTCGCTGGCACTCCTGGCAGGACCGTGTGTAGAAGTGAACGGTCTTCGGCAGCTTGGGCCAGTAATACCTTTCACGAATTCGGGCCAGCGTACGGCTGTAACCAAGATGTCCGGACGTCGGGTCGTCGTGACAGGCTTGGAAGATCTCCGCTCTAAGGTCGGTGGGGATTACCAGCAGCCATGGTGTGCTGTTGTCTGCGAAGTTCTCCTTGTAAAGTACACCTTGTCGGAGGACGAAAGTCGGCAGGGCTCTCGAGAAGACACGGGGGACAGTACCCCCTCGTCCTTCGAGGTGCTCGATTAGCGCGCGCAACTCAGGATCGTCTCTTTGACGTCGTGACATGTCGTCGGGGTTCACTGCACCTAGGAAACACTCGTCGTCTTCGTCGTTGCTGCCGCCGGAAGGTGTTTGGATGGGGGCTCTGGACAGGCAGTCGGCGTCGCTGTGCTTGCGGCCTGACTTGTAGACCACAGTCATGTTGAACTCTTGTAGTCGTAGACTCCATCGAGCGAGGCGTCCTGACGGGTCCTTGAGGTTCGCAAGCCAGCAGAGCGAGTGGTGGTCCGTGACTACACGGAACGGGCTCCCGTACAAATACGGACGAAACTTCGTGATTGCCCAGACGACAGCAAGGCATTCTTTCTCAGTTGTGGAGTAATTTTTCTCCGCCTTGGACAGTGTCCGACTTGCGTAGGCGATAACTCGCTCGGTGCCGTCTTGCACTTGAACCAGTACCGCGCCAAGTCCAGCGTTACTTGCGTCCGTGTGAATTTCGGTTTCCGCATCTTGATCGAAATGTCCTAGAACAGGAGGAGTCTGCAGCCGTCGCTTCAGCTCGTCGAATGCCTGCTGCTGCTTCTCGGCCCATTCGAACTTCTCGGCGTCCTTTGTGAGGTTTGTGAGTGGTGCGGAAATCCTTGCAAAATTCCGGATGAAGCGCCGATAGTAGGCACATAGTCCAAGAAACCTTCGCACGGCCTTCTTGTCTGTCGGTACTGGAAATGCTGCGACGGCGCGAGTCTTCTCTGGATCGGGGCGAACGCCTTCGTTACTAACCACGTGACCTAGAAACTTCAGTTCGTCATAGGCGAACCGACACTTTGACGGCTTCAGGGTGAGTCCGGCGGTCCGTATGGCTTGGAGAACTGCTCGGAGTCGTCGCAAGTGCTCGTCGAAGTCGCTGGAAAACACTACGACGTCATCGAGGTAGACGAGACAGCTCTGCCACTTCAGTCCTGCCAGTACGGTGTCCATGACACGCTGGAAAGTTGCTGGAGCCGTGCACAGTCCGAAGGGCATCACCTTGAACTCATACAGCCCATCTGGCGTGACGAAAGCTGTTTTCTCTCGGTCCCGTTCGTCGACTTCGATCTGCCAGTAGCCGCTCTTCAGGTCCATGGATGAAAAGTATCGGGACCGGCGCAGCCGGTCTAACGTGTCGTCGATGCGGGGGAGTGGATAGACGTCTTTCTTCGTCACTGCGTTCAGCTGCCGGTAGTCCACGCAGAACCTAAGCGTTCCGTCCTTCTTCTTAACCAGTACAACTGGAGAGGCCCACGGACTGCTTGAGGGTTGGATTATGTCGTCATTCAGCATCTCTTGCACTTGCTCCTGGATCACCTCAACTTTCTTTAACGGAGACTCTGTACGGCGATCGATGCACAGGGCGCGCGTCGTCCTCGGTAACGATGCGGTGTTTCGCAATGGTGGTTTGGCGCACCCTCGACGACGTCGCGAAGCAGTCACTGTATTCGGCGAGAAGGTCACTTAGCTGCCGTCGTTTCGGGCCTGGAAGCTTGCGGTCAATGTCGAGCTGCGCTGGCGCCGTAATGTGTTGCTGAGGTGGGAATGATTCTTCAGCAATCGCGGCGATTTCGGCGGAGTTGCGAATTTCCTCGACGTAGCCTACAGCGGCACCTTTCGTGAGGTGTTGCGCTTCTTGTCGAAAGTTTGTCACGAAGACCACGGTGCACCCATCCTGAAGTTCAGCCACTCCTCTTGCGACGCCTATTCCTCTTTCTAGGAGTAATTGAAGGTTGCCTTCAAGAACAACTTCGCCGCAGGTAGCTACATCGGCCACTACGGGTACGACAACACTTGATCGCGGCGGCAGGTTCACGTGGTCGGCAGCGACTCGGACGGCGGCTGACGCTGTTTGAGGTTTCTCTGAAGACGGAACGGGCTTGCGCAGCGTCAATCTGTTCTCACCAAGGTCGATGACGGCGCCGTATTCACACAGAAAGTCCATGCCGAGAATAACGTCTCTGGAACAGTCTTGTAGAACGATGAACTTCACAGGGCACGTTTCACCGCGGATCTCGACGCGAGCAGTGCATCTCCCGATGGGTGTGATGAGGTGCCCTCCGGCGGTTCGTATTTGAGGTCCATCCCACGGCGTCATGACTTTTCGAAGGCGGCGGGAGAGCCTCCCACTCAAGACTGAGTAGTCTGCTCCGGTGTCCACGAGTGCAGATGCGTCGTGGCCGTCGATGACGACGTTTAGGTTATTGGACACCACTGCAGCGGCGTCGTTTTGGTCTCTGGTAGCGTTCGAGTGGGGGCCCCCCGACGTTCGTGGAGGATCTTGGCGTCGGTCGTCTTCGGCAACTCCACCTGCAGGGGTTGCCGCGCCTAGTTTCCCCGGCGAGGAGCGAGGGGCGACAGGCTTTCACGTCGGGGTCGGTGCATCGGCGAAGCTGGACGTCGTGGCGAGGGCGATCAGAACTCTCGGCGGGACGCAGGCTCGGGAGACTGAGGTCGTCGCAGGTACTCGTCGATCTCCCGAGGGCGTTCACCATACCGGGGGCGCGGGTCGTTTGGGTGGAACCCGCGTAGCCCGAGTCGACGGTATGGGCATCGGCGGTAGGTGTGGTATGCTTCCCCGCAGTGGAAGCACAGAGGGCGTCGGTCGGGCGTTCGTCACACATCGGTCTTCCGGGGTGCACGGGGCTCCTGGCTGGCGTACTGGAGCTGGTCGTCGCGGCGTCGGTCGTGCTGCGGCGCAGGAGACTGACGTCGGGGCGGCGCGACATAGGTTCGAGGAGGAGGCGGT